AAAATACAAAATTAGTAATTTATTATTAATAAATACAATTTTCTAAAAATATAAAAAAAAAAACAAATAATTTTTTTTAAAATAACAATTACCAACAAAATAACTGATAATAACAATGAAAAATTTTATACAGAAATTTGTATTGCAATCAAAAATAATATTAAAGACAAAGAAAAAAAAAATAAATTATGCCAAAGGCAAAAATTCGTTCAAATTTGCCTTTAAATATAATAATAATTTAAATAAAAATGATTGTAATAATATTACAATTATTCAATTATCATTTTTCTCTACAAATAATTTATTTACCTTTTCTAAAACTATATCAGAACCTTATTTGTACAATCAAGGAGCAATTGAATTTCTTGCCGATGCATTAATTGATCTTTTAAAAAATAAATTACTTATCAACAATAATCTAGTTTAAAAAAATATTGAAACTTCTTGTAAAGTTCAATTTGTAATTAATCATAATACAAATACCGGTACTATTAAACAATATCTCAGAATTCAAAAAATTGTTACTCTTGGAGTTATTCAAATCTTTGCAATAGATAAAGAAAAGAAAAAGATAAACATTTAAACAAGATTATTAATTCGATGAATAATTTAAAACTTGATCCAGCAGAATCACTAGAATATAATGCTGTACAGAACTTTAAAAAATTAGAAAATCTTTTCAAACTTGCTTTTGTTTGTTTTGATCAATCAACTCTTGGAGAAGATCAAAAAAAAAATTTAAAAAATACTCTTAATGAAATTAAAAAATTTTTTCAAGAACAAACTTGTAATCATGAAAATACTATTTATACAACATTATACCCTGAAAAAGAAGTTAAAAAAAATAGTAAAAAAGATAAGAATATAATTATTAAAAAGGAAAATAGTATGGATCAAGATGAAGAATTATAAATTTAAATTATAATTTTATTTTAATTTTTTTTTATATTTTTGTTTAAATATTTCTTGCTTTTTATATGTAAAACCTATATTATTTAAATATTCTTTTATATTTTTATATTCATATTTAAAATATTTTAATAAATTTGACATATATTTTTGTTTTGAATAAATAAATGCTTTAGTCAAACCACAATTTTCCATATCTTGTATTAAATTTTGTTCAATAGTCCTATCAATATCATCACATTTTAAATTTGGAAATGATTTCGAATACTCTAATATTATAATCTCTTCAGAAACATTACATAACAACATAATTAACATGCAAATAATACCAGTATGATCTTTACCATGTTTACAATTAATAATTACCAAATATCTAGTCACATCAACATTCAATAAATATTCAAATACTAATAAAATTTCTCTTTGACACCCATCTAAAAATGACATATACATTTGTACAACTCCTTTTAACCCAATTGATTTGGTTAAAAAATATTTCTTTTTGAAAAAACTCAAGTAATATTTTACTTTTTCTTCCTTAGTTAGAATTTTAAAATACACATTGTACAATGATTCATTTAACATATTGATAAAATAAGTATCCTTGAATAATTTACGTAATCCACAAAAATTTTCTTTTACAGAACTTCCACGCAGATCGATAACCATAATCTCTTTACATGTTTTTCTGACTAATTTTTCTAATGTTGATAATTCTCGTTTACTAATTTTATCAAATTCATTTGATCGAAAAATATTTTTAACACCAAAAACATCGCGTAAATTATTTAACATTTTTTCCAGTCTTAATGTAAAATTCTTGTTATTTATATGTTTTAATTATTAATATCTTTTAATAAATACAAATGCTAAAAAAAAAACAAAATTAAAAAAAAAGGCAAAATATACTAAAATTTCTTGCAAAAAATGTTCAATTATTAAGAAAAGATGTGAAGATGAAAAACTATGTTCATTCTGTAGAGAAAATAATTACAAATGTGAATCAAATATTCATAAAAAAAGAGGTCCAAAACTATCTATTAAAAAAACTAGCAGAATGAATATCGCATATTTACTCAATTAATAACTCTTCTTATCACATTTCCAAACATATCTATAACTCGTAATCTTCCTTGCCACATATTTTGATTATCGTCTAAATTTATCTGTTGTGCATCTAATCGATTATCAATTACTTCTCTATCCCTATCTAACTATGGAATATTATGTAAATCTCTCTGTTTCGCTGCTATTCTTTCTTGTCTTCTCTGTGCTGCTAATTCCATATGTTCTTTTCTATGTCTCTTAATATTTAATCTACAATTTTGTCTTTCTCTATCATATTGTAATACTTGATTTTTATTTACTCGAACATATGATAAAATTAAATTTAAACCACATATAACACAACGTGTGTCAACACTATCTCTATCATACTATCTAGTCGCACAATGCATATGAGCCATATGTCTTTGATTATTACAAAGCCTCACTACTTCTGGATTACTATTCATAGCTTCTCTTAAAGATGTATTACAAATAGAACATCTTGTAAAATCTTGCGGATCCATATTTCTATCTTCATTTTGTTGTTGTCGTTGTAGTGGTAGTGGTTGCTTTCCTACAACTATTTGTTGTACATTATTAATTACCTCCACATCCTCCCTTATTTGTGGAATATTATCCATATCTCTTTGTCTTTCTTCCATTTGTCTTCTAGCTCATTCCTAATTCAATCTATTATCTCGATTTCGTCTCATTATTTGTAATATATAATCTCTTCCTACATGACGATTAATAAAAAGATGAACATGACATATGACACAATTTTGTACAACATTTGGCATTCTATACCATCTATTCACACAAATTTCATACAAATAATGAAATACATGTGAATTGTCACATAATTGTATAACATTTTCATCTTGATATAATAGTATATGACAAATAGAACATTCTAGAAAATCTTGTTGATCAAATTCTTCTTCTTCTTTAATAATTATTTGTTCTTCTGGTAGTTCGTTTACTTGAATTTCTCTATATCTTTGTAAAGCTATCGCATCCAGTTTCAATATATTTTCTGGTACTACATTTCTCCATAATTCATCAGATTGTAATGGTACACAACATATAGGACAAGTAATTGCATGTCGACTCCATCAATCAATACAACGAAAATGAAATATGTGATTATTTCGACATGGTATCACTACACCATATAAATTTTCAATATCAAATGCTGTTAAACATATAGAACATATTTCTTCTTGTATATTTATTTCCAATACTCCTCTATCTATCTGTGGATCTACTACGGGTATAGGTATTGGTATTTGACGAGGTATTAGTATTTTTGGTTGAATTATAATTTGTTTAGCTTGATCACCAATTATCTGATCAACTCTTATTTGATCTTCTCTTATTACATTTGGTCTTTGTTTTATTGGTAATTGTTTTATTGGTATTTGTTTTATTTGTGGTATATTTTGTTTAAGTCCTCCTCCTTTAGATCTTTCAGGTAACTGTGCCTGTATTTGTTTTGGTCTTCTTTGAATAACTGGTGTGTAAGTTTTTGGTCTTAATCTAAAATATCCACTTCGATCTATATTCACACGTAAAATTAACTCTCGAATAATCATCGGATGAACACATAGTCTTGCACAACTTGATGCTGTATGATTACTATCACAACATTGACAAATATATCTCTGTTTAACATCACTCACAAGATATAAAATGATCAATAAAAATATCAAGTAAATTTTTATTTTTATTTCCATCATCAAATTAATCAACAAAATTTAATTTATTTATATTTATATTATTAATTCAATTATCAATTAATTCAATCATAAAACATATAACATATTTTATCAATTAAAATAAAATGAATCGATTAGAAAAACCACAAACTTTATCATTTGAATATAATGTTGAACATTTTGGTGTAATTTTTGAAGAAAATTTTGAAAATAAATTATTTCTTTATCTGAAGAAAAATAAATTACATCTGAAGAAATTCACATTTTACCAATTCAATGGTGGAAAATTATTACATAAATCTACATATGAACAAAATGAAAAATTGTCTCTTCAATTTGGTAAAATACAAATAATATATGATGATAATCTTAAAATCGCAAAAGATAGAACTATTGAAAATATAGATTTTTATAGAGTAGGAAATTTTAATATTATTGGCGATGATGGTATCGATATCTCATGTGAATAGAATGGATACCCATTATATATTCAAGCAAAATTTCGAAATCTATGCACAAATTGTAAAAATAAAAACAATAAATCTTGTTCATATAATTACTATTATGATGGAATGAAAGAAGATATTTTAAAATTTGATAAGAAACTATCAGAATATAAAATACCTATTTTTGGAATGTTTATCGTTAATGAATTTGTAGATCTTCCTTATAGTAAAATCAAACAACTAAATTTAAAAAACCAAATACAAATATTACAATATTCAGATGCTTTAATTGATGATATTAATGAATTAGGAAATACTTTTTTAAGAAAAGATCATAGATTTAACAATATTAAAATCAAAAAGAATTTTTATGAAGAATTAAAAATAAGTTCAGTTTATTGGTATTTTGAAAGTTATCTAAACAAAATTAATAATTCTGATAAATTTTTTTATGATAATTTAAAAATTTTTTAAGTTATTTTCGAGAAGCATATCCTTTTTTAAATCAAGAAAATAATATAAATGATATTTTAGATAAATCTTTTAATAAACTAAATATTGTATAATATAAGTTTAATAAAATTATATATAATAAAACTATAAATTTATTTTTTATTGACATTTTGCATATTAAGTAATTCTGCAAGTTTTTGTGAAACTTTTCTGAGTTCTTCAATGTCATTATCATCATTGTTGGTTCGTTGCATTTGAAGATTTTTAAATATTTCATCAAGAGCCAATCTTTGTTTTTGATTTAAACTAGATCCAGAATTATTAGGTTTATTAGCACCTGATTCATTTGGATTAGATCCTGTACTATTTCCTAAACCTCCTGTATTTCCACCAGTTGGATTGCCTCTTTGACCTGTATTTGAACCAGGATTACCAGATGTATTTCCAGAACCTGAATTTGATCCGGGGATGTTACTACCTAAATTACCTCCTCCACTTTCTCCAAAATTATTAATTAGAGATATATGTCTACCCCAACATCATCTATTAATAACCAAAAACATTTTCCTTTAAATTGTTTTAATTCATTTTCAGGAGCATTTCGAGTTACATGAATAATATAATCTGAATGAGGTAATGTATACCATTCTTGAGATACCTTCTCAATAGAATATTTAACCTCACCAGGATTTTTTTTTGATAATTCTAATACAGCTTTATACTAATTATCAACTACACTTTCATCAGAAAAAATTTCTAAATATCTAGTATTTTGAATATTCTGTTTTGAAATAAAATAAATATAAAATGGCATTTTATTTTATTAATAAATTTCAAATTAATCTTCTTCAGACAATTCTATATAACTATTATTAGTACTAGTATTACTACATTCACCAATTCATCAAATCTGGCACGTTTTATATTTTCTCTCTCTCCTCTTTCAGTTTCATTTTCCTCATAACTCATTCTATGTTTTCTATTACCACAATTTTCATAATTTAACGTTTTATCATATTTGAAATCCTCCAAAGTTAACAATAATTCTTTTTTATCTCCATCCTTATCTATATAACTAATAACCACACTTCCACCATAACGCAAAAATTCATTTGTTAAATTTCCATCTTCATCCTTTTTTTGTAAATCGAAATTTCCAATATTGATTATCAAACAATTTTGACGTAATTCTTTTTAAAAAATTTCATCTTCAATAAGATATGGATTTCCTGATTCATTTAACAAAACCACACAAGGTTTTGAGCCTTTATTTTTAATAGTTTTCGAATAAGCCGTTTGTAAATTAAATTCTTCCTGACAAAATAACATTTCTCAATACGTATACCTTATTGATTTTTTTTAATCAACATTATGTCTAAAAAAATTAATATCATCAAGAATCATGTATTTCGCATTATTATTTCATTGTTTTGATTCTCTAAGCTTACAATAATATATATGTGGTAATTTTAAAGATCTAAACAAAGCAGTTTTACCTAACGAGTATTTTCCACAATTATTATACTTTTATATCGTTTCTTTTTTGTAAACAAATTTTCTTTAATCCATTCAAATATTATTTTTGGAACCCAAAAATCATCTAATTCATAAGAT